TCACCGTCTCCACGGTGACGCCGCCGACTGCGCGTGTAGGACCTCCGGGCACGTGTACAGGCCGCACGGAGGTCCGCCAGCTCCTGGGACCACCAGTAGACCTCCTTCCTTGGAGGCCGACGACCTCGAACGCGGGGCATGGCCGCATCGCATACATGCGTAATCGCATCGCGAAAGCGGCCAGCCCCCACGTCGACCTCCTCGGTCGGAGCCTGAGGAGACAGCCACGAGTGAATTATGGCTGCCTCCTCTAGTAGGTCCCGGTTCAGCCTGGCAACAGCCCACCGAGGAAAGCGGGATAAACGCCGCGCCACGTGACCCCTACTGGAGTCCTGGGTCCGGGAGAGCTCAAATCGGATATACAGGTGATCCGAGAGCGTCTCAACCTCTTCCAGGACACGCCAGTTCCTTACTCGTGCGGCGAGGGCAGGGGTAGCGAACGAGAGGTCCACTATCGACCCCCCCTGCTGTCGCACGCACGTGTTGGTGGAGCCTCTGTTTAGAAGACAGAGGCCCACCGAGGCCGCCCACTCCTCTACGGCCTCGCCCCTGGCGTCCGTCCTGGGGGAACCCCACGCAATGGACTTTGCGTTGAAGTCCCCCAGCACAAGGACGTGTCCAGACGCTAGTCGCCGTATCGAGGTCTCCAAGCTGGTTAGGAAAACCTCGAAGTCGTTCAAACTTCGGTTGGGGGAGAAATAGACACCATATATGGTGATCCCCCCCCACTCGACGGCAACATATCCAGTGCCCTTGTCTCTTAGCGACAAGGGCGGGGAATGAGCCGTCGTGGAACCGACGACTGCCACGGAGCCGTCCCAGTCACCCATCCAGTTTGGACGGGGAGGGACAGAATAGGGCTCCGCGACTACGGCAACACCTATCGACCACTGTGCCATGGTTTGCAGGAAGAGATCCTGCGCCGCGGCACAGTGGTTCAGGTTCGTCTGGACCAGGAGGTTGGAGACTTGATCCATTACTGGATCGTCTCTACAACCTCCTCCATGGGCGACGACGACGACGCACGTACTACATCAGAGGCAGCCTGGGTCGACTGGCTAGCCCCTGACGTCTGCCGAGAACTGCGGGGAGGCTTGCAGCCTCTCTGCCCCATCTGGTGATTGGCGGGCTTATTGCATGCCGCACACACTGGGCAGTGAGGGGCGGCAGAACATTCTGCCGCCTTATGCCCCGGTTGACCGCAGCGGAAGCACAGTCCGCCGCAGTCGAAACAGCTGTCGCACTTGACGCGCGTGTGTCCCGATGCTAGGCATTTGTAGCACCTCATCGGTCTAGCCGCCAGGACTGTGATCCTGGCGCTCACGAAACCGATGAGCAGCCTGCCGGCGTCGGCCAATACTTTGGCCGACGCTACGGGACAGCTGACCCACACGGCGCCAAGCCCTCCTGGACCGGGGCGGATGGTGCCGATCCTGACGTTGTCCGCGCTGCACCCCGTCTTCTCCCGGATTACAGCGCGGACATCTTCGGCCGTTACGGAGTCGTCCAGGCCCGAGATGCGCAGCTCTGCGCACTTAGTAGGCCTGGCGATCTTTACACCATCCGTGGCTGTAAAGAGTCCCCGCAGCTTCTCGGCAAATGTGTCCGCCGTCTTAGCGCCTTCAGCCCCAGGGAACTCGAGGACTCGAGCTCCCGTCTGGGTGAGGCGCATCCTGACCCCCACCGTCCCAAAGTCGTTGGCGAGGCTGTCCCGGGCCTTTTTAAAAACGGCCGCGTAGGACAGCCCGCCGTCACCCGCCTCCGGGGACACGGTCACCACTACCGCCGCGGTTTTGGGCGGCTGCAGCTTCCGCGGCCTCTTTGCAGAGGCCGTTGCCACCGGTGGCGAAGGCGTGGCTTGGGCTGCTTTTTTGGCAGCCCTTTTGGCCCGCCTTCGGGACTTCTTGGAGCCCCTCGCCTCCTGCCAACCCTCGTTGGAGGGGGCAGGTGCGGAGGGGCCCGGCAGGGGTGTCGGGGTGTCGGAGTGGGGAGCGGAGGGAATGCCACTCCGCTCCTCGGCGCCGTTTTAGGCCCCGTCTTGGCCGGCGCCTGGGGATGTGCCTTGGCCGTCGCCTTAGCCGGTGCCTTGGCCGGCGCCTGGGCCGGTGCCTTGGCCCCCCTCCTCGGCTTTTGGTGAGCCGATGGGGTCGGGGCAGACGCCGCCGTCGCGTAGGAGACGCGGCCTCCCACTACGGGGAGCGCGGTCTGAGCGGCGGCCTTAGGCCGCTGTGCCGACGCGAGCGGGGGGCGCATAATCGGCGCAGGGGGCAGTCTCGCCTCCAGGCCAGCCAGGCGTCCGTCCAGCATATTCCCAACTGCAATGAGGATTTCTCGCAGTTGGGAGTCAAATGCCCCTGAGTTGGTGGTAGGGGCAGGCTGGGACGCGGACGGGGCTTCCCGCTCGGGGAGGTTCGCCTGGAAGCGGGCGAACTGAGCACTCAGCTCGTTCACCCGCTCCGTCAGCCTCTCGTTGGCCACCTGCAGGCGAGAGACGTCGCCCGCTAGGCCCTCCACGACCTCCGACAAAGCGGAGGAGGAGTCCTTAAGGGCCCTCACAAACGAGCCCTTAAGGTTCACGGATTTGGTGGCCACCTTGTCGATGACGGCCACCGCCGCTTTCGCCCTCTCCTGCACGGACACGGGAGCCTGGGGGGCATTTCCCCCCACCGGCTCCCGAACCTTGAGCAGGAGATCCGCGATCTCCTCCTCCGCTACGGCCTCGCCGTCCACTCGTACGCTCCTGTAGGACTCCGCGTTTGAGAACGCGGAGCCTGACGGGGTCGAGACCGAGGCCGAGGCCGGTTTACGCGCCCTCCCTCGGCGGCTGCTTGCCACCTTTGGTGGCATCATTTCGCCGGACGTGTCGGTCCCCTCCTCCCTGGAGCGTCCGCGTTTCCTGCTGTCGCTTCGTTCCGCCTCCATGGCCTCCGCGCCATCCGACGAAACGGCGGATCCGGAACGAATACGATCCGATGCTCTTCGGCTCCCAGAGACCAGAGTCAGACTGACCTCTGGGAGCCCCATCGAGATAGGCGTTCCCGACACCATCTCGCCCTCAGTGGACGACCCATCCACTCCACTGTTTTGCTTCTCCTTCCTTCCCTTCGTTTTCTTCGTTTCCGTTAGGCTTGCCTTTTTCGTTTGTATGTTGGTTCCGATCGTTTTTTTAATTTGTTGTAAATCATCCATAATAATCCCACGAGTGGGGGAGAACTAGAGGTCCACCCGGGCAGAGATCCCCCATTACCCGGGCAAGCGTAAGTTTTTAACCCAACCGAGGGGTCCGCAGGTACCTCGGCTTGGAGTGCGCTCGCGACTGAACTTCCCATCAGCCATGCATCCCCTGGCCATGCACCAGAACACGGGATTCGGGGAATTTTTTAGAGAGGTTATCTTCCTCGTGGTCCGGGCGGTTAAGCCAAGACCCTCGCCCCCGATCAGAGCCGCGAGACTTAACCACAGCGCTCTTCTCGGGATTACGATATGCCGACGGTTGACAGGGAGACTACGTCCCCCTGCCTGCTCGGTGGTAGTGTGAGTACACGCCGAGCCCGTCCTCCTTTCTCCACCGCTGTCAGCGGAGAAACTGTGGCCCCTACAGGGCCCCGCCATCAGGTTTTTTACCGAGGTTTCCTCCTCCATGCTCCGAAGAGCGAAGAGCCAGCAGGGCAACCGGCAGACACGCCCACCCTGCTGGACCAGGCCTTGCCCGAGAGCCGATGAACGGCTACCTCTTCTGCTAGAATATTGGCCGCTGGCGATAATCCTCTCCTCCAAGAGGACAAGGAGGGAACAGTACCATCGCCAGCGTTTCCAGGGTGCACCACGGGGAGGTTTTCTAGCTAGCACCCCTTCTAGCTAGCACCCCGACAAACCCTATACCAACCCGTCTGGCCAGCGTGGTATAGTAGGCCAAAACCTCCTTTCTAAGGAGAGGTTTTACAGTTAACATTATTTAATTTGTAAATACTAAGCTTTCTATTTAATCTATTATATAAAAACGCACCTAGAAAATAAAATAAAAAAATTTGAATAAATAATTTTTAGCCTGACTGTGGGATATTGATCACAAACGCTGGCAAGCTTAATTTATGTAAATAAAGTGTATTGTAATTCCTGTACACAGTTCAAATAGACTGTCTGTAATCGTTATAAGATTAATCTAAAAAGTAAATGAAAAATTTAAAGTTTCGCTTAAGCAGCGAAGGTTATGTCATAATCATCATCAGCCTATCGCAGTTCACTGCTGGACATATGCATCTACCATTGCACGCCACTTTACAATAGGGTTACAACACACAAGGTTATGTCATAAGGTAAATATATTTTGTTCTAAATTGTTTTCAATTAAATTCAAAAGCAGATCATTAAAAAAAATTGCGTTTTTTTTTAAATGATCTATGAATTTACACAAAACGTCATTTCACGTCACAAATTTACGTCAGGGCCTTTTTGTTCACACATTTTCAGTGGCGTATCCGTGCCGTGGCATTTTCACCAAGTTCAATCTTCACCCCTCAAGCACCGTTTTGTTTTTGTAACGCTTCAATCTAGTGTTCTGAGGTGAAATGTCCTTGACTTTATTTAATACGAAGGAGTTGATGATGATTGAAATTGCTCCTGTTAGTAACTGGTCATTCATTTTTTAATAAAACCTTAGACACTTCGATGGATATGCACACGTCACGGCGTCTCCTCGGGCACTAAAGCTCCATCGCGAGCCCGGCACGGACGTGTGAATGAGTTTATACATAATATAAACAGTACGCAATGATATTTTTTCAAGTCACTGACGGAACACGTCCCGTCCAAACGTCCGGGGCACGGGACATGTGTGTTGATCGACCTTTAGTTGGTTCTTACGACACCCACGGGATGAATACATGTGGACAGGGTGACACTCCATATTCTTAATCTGTCACCACACGGAAGCCGCTTTTACGACTACAAATTGCTCAAAAAAGTACATTATGACCACAATGTATATTCCAAGTATTTACCTGTCTGTGTTTGTCTTGTATGGAGCCAGCAAATATATACGTATCGGGAAAGCCCTGCGAACGAGCGCATTCTCGGACGGACACGACTCGATTTTGTTCTGGATGGAGTATTCGACCTTGCTTTCCCATTGGCTCAGGATCTGTTACCGTAGTACTGAAGTATCCATCCCAACATAGACGGCCTATAAAAAAATATATTTTAAAGTTATAAAATATTTTTTTTGATTTAGACACTGATTGACAAAATGATAAATTAAGTGCTACAGTTCGGAAATATAGGAAACCTTTTAGCTCTAATATAGGTCTCTCCGCACAAATAGACATTAAAGAAGACATTTAACAATACATTTTAAAGGAGAAACTGGTTAAATGTCTGATAGATTCTGCACAACCAAACCCGTTGAGTAAATTATAGTCTTAGAAAAAGATTCGTCACCTACATAACGCAAAGGAGTACTAACCCCTTAACTAACCATACTATACCCCTTTTTTTTTACGTGTGGATATCCCCTCGGACCGTCACCCCGCCCCCCCCCGCCCCGGGGTTCTCTGTACGGCGGGGCGGTGTGTCGGACTCGAACCGACTAAAACCACACGGTGTGCCCTCTTTGCGCTTCTATTTTAGGGTGGGGTCCAGGTAGTTATCGCCTTCTGGACCCCTCCCAGCGCCGGCCCGCTCCTGGTGCAGGCTCCGTCTCGGATTATCCTCTCTTTAGGCGACGTCCGGCACACGCGGACGCCGCCCCCTCGTGGCTGGCCAAACTAATGCGGGTGGAGGGGAAAACCCATCTCGTCCACCCGCGGCCACACTCAGGGCGGCATGAGGCGCAGGTGAGCGCGCCTCCGCCGCCCGGTTCGCCGGCGGCGGATCGGGTCCGAGTGGAGGTCGTCCTCCCGGGCCTTCTTCGTTGCGACCGCGGTAAAACAACTGTCGCTACCGGCCATGGAGCGTACTACGGCCGGTAGCGAGAGATCCGCTCCGATGACTGCAGTGAGGGCCCGGCGCTGCGTCGCCCATGCGGGGCAGACCGCCAGCGTGTGCTGGGCCGAGTCCTCACTGCAGTCGCAGTGGTGGCAGGCGGGACTCGATTCCCTCCTAGCGACCGAGTGCAGGTACTTTCCGAAGCAACCGTGCCCGGAAAGCACCTGCGTCAGCCGGAAGTTAAGGGTCCCGTGCTGCGGCCCTGCCCACTCGGCGATGACCGGCTTGAGAGCCTCCACGGCGGCGAAGCCAACGCGTGGAGTCTCTAGCCGGAACGACCATCTGACCATGGTGGCTCGGCGAGCGGCTTCGCGCCACTCGCGCACGTCTTCGGGCGGAGGGCGAAATCCGCTCTCCGCCCGGAAATCAGCCACTCGCCGATAGACTTCGGCGAGCACTTCCGCCTCCAAATCCCACGGGGGTGTTCCGGCCAAGGCGCAATAACCGCGTAAAGCCGCCTCGTGGGAACACTGGCCCCGCCCAAATTGGGCAAAAGTCGCCCTAGGGCGGAGGCAGTGTCCACCAACCTTGGACCAAGCTGTCGGAAGTGCTCGTCGAAGAGCCACCTACCGTCTAGGACCAGACCCAGGTACCTCATCTGGGCCCGGACCGGTACGAGGACCGAGCCGACCTCGATTGAGGCGCCGGCGGGCGGACCACGACGGGGCCCATGAAATAGTAGGGCCTCCGTCTTATCCGATTATTAACCTCTTATGGATTTAAGAAAGTGAATACAAGATTGTATAGAACTTCCTCATGTTTGAAGTCAGAAATGTAAAAGTTTAGCATATGCTTACCATAGAGACCAGCCCAATTGTTATGTCGGTTGCCAGTATGTGGCAAGCACCACGGGATGAGAGTGTTCTCCTGCTTATCTGCGGGTGAACAGGCGCCGCCCGCCGCACACGCACACACGCCGCGGAGAGCCCCGCTCGAGGATCGGCCGTTCCTCTTGTCTTCGTAACGATATTGCAACACCTGTGGCAATAGTAATAGTACATTCATAATGAATACTGTTGTTTAATATAACCTTTAATGTTGAATACAAATTCTTCTAGTTTGAATTATATTCAGATCGATTTAAGAATCCCTTTTTATCCACATCCGTTCAGTCGCTCTGGTGTGATTGAATAACAAAAAATTTCGAATTTACAATATTCATGGGATACTATATTGTTACATTTAAAAAAAATTGGTTTTACTTTACCTTACATTTAGTTCCATCCGAAAGAGTGACTGATATGTTCGGTAAGTCCCTCCAATCGGAACCAGGTATGGTGGGTATCCTACACATTCGTGCTTGAATAAGAGGGGCCATGTTTTTACATATGTGATCACGCAGCTTAGCGTTTTCATCTTTGCTTCTAACTATTCGCTGGAAGTGGCTCTCTGGCATCGAGCCGTAATCGATTTCTATTTTATTGGCCCCATTGCTTATATGGGGCAGGTCGCTCATTGCGTCCCGTATTGTACAAGTTCGCCGAGGGGCAGCGTCGTCCCAGTGAATATTGGTAACGAAACGTTTGCCATCTATTGTGGTGGTCAAGGAGCAAGCACGTCTGCTGAAAACGTGTGTCGGTTCGGGATATAACGGTAAACTAAACCCTGGTGCTGCTGCAAAAATAATAAGCCTTCTTCTGGTCTGTGGTACACCATAATTGCCAGCCTGTAAAATTCCGAAAGTGCACTGATATCCCATATCTAACAACGCCCTCAGGGTCAGTTTTAGTACCATGCCTTTTTTGAATGCCACAAAGTTTCTAACATTTTCGAGTATAAAATATTTTGGACGATAATAATCACAGTAAGATAAGTAGGAGGCTACTAGAGAGTTCTTAAAGTTGGAATACTCCCTTGAGTTAAATCTATTCATTCCAGAGAAGCCCTGACATGGTGGTCCGCCACACAGTAGTTCGACCTCCCCTTGCATCGGGAGTCTGAGCCCGCCAGCGCTATGCGTGGACCCAGACATCACATTCTTAAGAAGCGCATTGCAATCTTCATTAAATACTATACAGTTTTTATTGTTAAGAGCATAAGCGTGAGCAGCAGCTTCAACGTTTTCAACAGCCCATCTGCATTCGGCGATACCGGCGCTGTGTAAGCCTTCGGATAGTCCACCACATCCAGCAAATACATCTAAAGTTCTCAAGGGTCTAACTTCAATATTCTCAGATTTCGGCTCACTTACATCTACAGGTTTACTAGATTTCCCTTTGCCTTTTCCTTTATCTTTACCCCTGTCTTTACGTCCGACACTCATTGCTTGCTGTGGTACAGCTTTAAATTGACCAGAGGCTTTTTCAAAAGCCATTCTAAAATAGAATCTACTTGGGTCTTTCTCTAACCACTCATGGAGGAGATTCGTTTGAGGAATGTTTTGTTCATAGATTAACTGACATGGGCCTACAACTGCAGAAAATGATACATCAAGTATTTCGTCACTCCAATAAACAACATTAACGTCTTCTTGTTGTGGAAATCGACTTGTGGTGTTTTCAGGCCTATAAAGAACATTTATTTTAAGATAAATATCTTGTGGTACAATAAGTGGTCCTTCACCTATTGCTGTCACGGCTGCAATGTACCCCACGCAAAATGGTTCGCCAGTATCTACATTTGATCCACGCAAATTATTATCACTTTTTCGGTAGTATTCAGGATAAGTATTTTCATCAATGTTCTCTAATTTAGGTTTAGGATTTTCATCTGAGATTATAAGATTATTTTTAAACTTAAATGTACCCGGTTTAAGAAACACTCCGCAGCCCTTCTTGTATTCAAAGTCTTGCCACCTCACCGATGTCCACTCCGTGCTGTTTGATTCAGTTATAAAGTCAGATTTTTCCATTAATTTTCCAGAAACTTTAGGAATGTTTTTAGCATCCCTTCTCGTTTTTCGTTCACAAGATGGACAAAATCTATGTTTTCTTAACTGATTAGGGCAAATCGGATCTTCGGGAACGTCCTCAAATCGTGCTGTAAATCTCTCATAATATTTAGTATAAAAATATGTTTTACCGTCATCTTCGACGTGTTTTTCATCTACTTCTTTACCTCCCAGCTTGAACCAGTTTGTAGATGTTTCTTTCTTTTCAACATAGGCTTTTCTTAGTATGGAAGACAGAGGAGCACCATGGCAACATCTGTCACCTAAGAATACTTCTCTAGGATCGCCTACTTCACCCAAAACAGTATCAGAGGATCTAATGAATACTTCTCCATGGAAATACCCACCTTTCAAATTAATTGTTTCCTTCCACATGTAAACAACTCTAGCAACAAGAGCAGGAATATTTGATTGGGATGTTTCTACCATAACAAAATCTCCAATACACAGTTCGGAGCCATCGATTTCGACTTTTTCGTAATAGATCTTAGCAGCATCTGCTTTAATGGGTTCTCCAATCCATTTTATACTTCTGTTATTGGATCCAGTCAATTTTACTGGCACTGCATCTTCAATAATGTCTTGTTGCTTTTTGTCGACCATATTTTGGTACTCATCATCATCATCAGGATCGGAATCTTCAGCTTGTTCCACTGCCATGTTGGGACAAAATCTTCTAACGCAAGCTTTTTTAGTACGACCATGTCCTCCGAACTTAGCCATTGCTCGACAAGCATTACATTCGCCACAATCAGGCAATTGACACGCTTCGCATATGCCACATCGCTTTCTCCTCAACACTAGCTCATGATTTGTTTTATCTAGCTGATTCGTAAAAAAGCTTTCAAACGTTTTCCTAACGAGAGGCGTAGTGGTTGCCTTCGTCCAAGCTTTTTTGTCGACTTTTTTGAAATCAATTTTTGTACGATATTTACGTTTACCAAATTTAATACCCATTAATTTAATCAACTCCCTTATACAAGGTAAAGTAATTAATGGATCATCATCTTCGTCAGCTTCTAAACTCAGAACTTGATCACACACAAATTGTGCATGCTTGTGGAGCATCTCTTCAGTCATTTTCATATAATTGAGATCCGGAATGGAAGATTCTCTAATAACTTCTAGCAAGTCCTCATATGTTGGTTGAAGATAATGATACTCTTCTAAATACTCGACAACAACTTTACTTAACCAAATTTTCTCATAGAGATTATTCATTAGAGGTGTATACTGCTCACTCGGCTTTAATAAGTTGTACTCGCCAAATTCCGTCGACAATGTGATACAATTCCTATCTCCACCATCAAAACCATGTATGAACCTGTAAGTATACAAAATAAAATACTGTTTGATAAAGTACTTACTAATGATGGAGGTTGTCTAATGATAATTTATTTTGTAATAACTAGGTAGGCTAGGATAAGCTAGGACTTCTATTTCTAAACGATGAACTATGTGTTTGTTATGGAAACAATTTTTAACATTGAATAAGTAAAGTAATGTGTTCATGTACACATCTAAAATAAACATTTTAAGCATAAATATACCTTAGTCATAGGCAAAACAGAACAATAGTATATGTATGTAAAGTCTGTATATTCAATACACTTATACATGTTTTTCAATTAATGATTTTGCACAGTAGCTATTACTTATCATCCTTTGTTGAACTGTGAAAAAAGGTCTACCAAGTTCTAGGGTACAGAACACTTGGTTTGAGTCTTTCAGTAATGTCTGTTCTGTCTGTCTAGTGCTACAAATTGTCTGAAACCTTACAGGGGATTGCAAAAAAATTCATTGATAACAAGTTTAGTAATGACATACTATCAAAACACCTTAATTACAATACTACTGTACAATAAAATTACGTAGGATGATTTTCTATATTAAAGTACTCACCTGTTGTTTAATGAAAATGGTTTTTGTTTTTTACTGATTACTAGTATCTAGATATACTTAAAAAAAGGACACATGCACAGTCTAAACACCTGTGTACCGCTCACAGTTTCGCCCGCGTGGATTTCGGTAACCGTGATCTATTAGAATATTCTCAATTTACCATATTTTTCATTACTTTAATGTACCTCTGCTGGTTTACGCGGATACGCGTAAACGAGTAAAGCTCCCAGTAGGCAAGTCTTTTTGCGACCTCTTCAACAATAATCATTATTATTTCAGTCAATTTACATAAAAACATAATTATGCACCTAAACCTTCCTCAGGATCACACTATCTATTGATAAAAACCATACAAAAATCTGTTTGGTAATTTTTTAGTTAATTGCGTTCATACAGACAGACAGAAGCGGACAGGGGACCTCATTTTATAATATGCAAGGATTATTGTGCTAGCAAAAACAAACACCTTAGGGTCATCTAAAGAAAACATATCTTACAATAAATGACTTACTTACCATTCAATAATAGGACCTACGTCTTTCACAGGTACAGATTCTTCATCAATATCTATAGTATCTGAACAAATAGACTTCAAGTATCCTGACATATAAATGCGCATGTCATTTTCCACTAGGCCCCCATCAATAGGGCACAGGTGTCCTTGTTCATCAAATATAGAGAAACTGGTTATATTGGTTTGTGGTCTTTCCATTATATCCCCTTCATCACCTAAAAATATGTACTCATCATATAACTTGTAAGTATTATAGAAACTTCAAGGCATGCGCACTTGGTTTCATTGTTCCTATTGTAAGTGTTACTACCTATATTTATAAAAATGTTAAATTGCTTTGTGTATGCTTCGAAAACTCTAAAAGTTCTGCATTAATTGAGCTTAATTTTTTACATAATATACAACCGTTTCAAAGATTGTTTTAACCTATTTTCATGTCAGTTTTGATCCTCATTTCTCATCAATGCAATTTAAATGTTGCACAGCGAAGCGTTGCACAGTTGCGGTTGCGCGACGTTCTGAGACCTACGGCGCCTGAGTCGTTTGCCGTACCTGGCCCGTTTCCGGGCCTGGCAAACCGGGAAAGTTCTAAATGTCTCGCGGTCCCGATCGGCCCTCGCATTCGCAAGCATAACTTGCTCAAAGAAGGAGATCGCGGAGTTCCCCGCGCTCTTGCTCCGTACCATGGCCGCAATCATAGTACCAAGCAAGAGAATTATCATTCCGATGGCCGCCACGATGTCACGCCTCTGCTCATCCCAACCCGGGCTGTAGCTAGTTAATTATAATATGTATAAGCAAAAAACATGTATGTAAGTAAATTTATATATATATATGTATATATGTATATATATATATATATATATATGTGTATATATATATATATGTTTATATATATATATATATGTATATATATATATATATATGTATATGATATTAAGTAGTTGGTAAAAGATAAATCAGTATGTACAATAATTTGATAAGTAAAATAAACATTATCTAGTTTATTTAAAACATGATATACACATTTTTATCTATATTCCATGCTGTAACCATTAGAATATTTTAAAAAGTTAGATATACTCACCTACCAAAAAAAAATTATCACTTCATTTTTCACCAATGTAACTTTTAATAAAAATTTAATATGGCCAGGACAATAGGTCAAAACTACTAAAAACATTATTTTTAAAACAACAGGACTTACAACGATAAAAATTTACTGAAATCTTTTGGAAAATCAAGCAAACCTAGAGGAAAATATGGTAGTATAGTATGTAGTAAGTACCTGAGGCTAAAACAAGTTTCTCATTTGTTAATGCTATATATTCTTCTACAGCATCTTGTGGATGACCTTGGTAATATATTAAATCAGAGTTATTCAAAAATTGATTACATATGTGACACTTTTCCATATCAAACATATTTATTGGCATGTCTTTAGAGTTAGGTTCTTCATTATTGTTTTTAATGACAATGCTGTTTCCATTACCCACAGGTTTTAAACTTTGAATATCCTCATTATTCTGAGAATTCAATGTATTTGTTTCTATAGTAAGGACATTCTCTAATTCCTGTTTTAGGCAGGTGTCTTCAGATTTGTTTGTTATTTCTACATTTTTTGTATCACTGTCCCCTAATATTACACAGCCTTTGGGAGTATCTGATTTTTTATCTTCACCTTTACCTAAGTCATTGTTTATTTTAGTTTCCTCTTTCTCATATTTTTGTTTCTTCTGAAAAGACCCATAAAATTTCAATTATTGGTATGTTTTTTCATTTAGAATAATAACAAACTAATTATATGTTGTTTTTGTTGAGTATTTGTGTTGGATAACTAAACAACAAAGTGCCTAAACTACTTCTACTCCCGACAATTTCAATGTCTAAGTCAAACTTAAACATGACCAAAAGTTTTATTTAAAATCACTGCTTACAGGATTTTTGTCTTCTGGACTCTCTGGACTCCTACTCCTTTTGCATATAAACATACTAGTGAGTTTTATCTGATTTCCATTCCGTGGAGACCTTCGCTGAGAACTGAAATCCGAACATTTATTATAATTAAAAAAAGGTTTTGAGAATTTTTTCAATGCAATTTACTTACGTTAAAGTAAAGTGCATTACATGTAAATAACTTACGGTTGAGAGGGTGACAATTTCTCCATAGGAGCAACCGTATCTGAAGAGTCAATTTTTGGATTAAGTCCACCATTTTTAACCGGCATGTCGGTGTTGTAATGTAATGATTTAAAGTTATTTTATTAAGCTAACAAGTTACAAAACATCAATAAACAATTAAAATTAGTTCATGATTTTTCTACGTCAACAAATTAACACACTACTTCAAAGACATATTACTCAAAAAAAATGGAGTTCGGGGCTCGAAGAATAGGTACACTCCCGAAAAAAATAAACCAAGAATATATAACACAATATTTAACTTATAATAACCAGCTGAAAATAAAAACTACTTTTGCCGCCTTATTTGTTGTCAACTGGCAATTTGACAGTTCAACATAGAACAACTCTATGACTTTTGATTTATGACTTAGTGGTTATAATAGAAAAACATTAAATAGTATACTAAAGTCTTCTTCTTCCTAGTAGATCCCATACTGCTGAGGATCGTGACTCCCTTTCATCCTGTTAACCATCTGCTTCCATCGGCTGCGATCAGTCGCTTGGTGGAGTGCGATACTTATTGGCAATTCAAGCTTTTTAGCAAGGAAATACATTTTTGTAATAAAACAATCCGGCACATCACTAGTGTAGTAGATTAGGTCATAAAGAACAATGGCGAATTCGTAGTTGAGTAGTGGAATATAAGGAAGTAAAAAAAAATAAAGTGGCAACTGCAAGCTGAAAAAAAGCAATGGTTTTTTTACAACTCTTTACAGATGTTTGCGCTGTGTTTAAAAATAAAGACTATAAACGTCTGATACGAATGGCCAGTCTCTAGTATATACATTATAATCTATGCGAATGGCCGCCGCCGATTATATTAGTTTAGGTTTTGAATTTACAATTCATTACAATATGTTGAAATAGGTAATAAATTAAGGAAAAGGAATATACTATCCAATTATTGATTGGATATTATATTCCTTTTCCTTATATGAATTATTGATTATTTCATGCATCAGACTCATTAAAAGTGACATAAAAATATAACCTACGAAAGTTCTACAGCTAGTATACTATAATAATTCTTTATTATCTTTTTTTTATTTAAATGGCACATATTATACAGTTAAAATTATCAAAAGTTGTGTAAAGTCGATAGCCATAGAAAAATTAATAAAATAAATTAAACATTAAGTACCTAGCTATGTTATAAAAGACTTTATCTATGGACTCTTTTAAAGACAGTCCATAGATGCAGTGCGTAACTGAAAACATTAAATGCTAATATCTTTTTTCCTACCCTTTTCCAAACAAAAATTGTTTTTTACGGAGATTCTAAAAAAAATAACAGATTTTTTTTATATTTTTTTCACTACAAGACGGTGATTCCAAACCTTTTTTTTTTTTGTCTGGAGACCCGTCATTGTTCTTTCTCTCCACTCTAGTTTGTCAATGTAAAAATATTTGACATAGCTAGCTATCAACTTCATTAACCAAAAGTTGAAGTTGATAGCTAGCTGACATTTGTGACATATTAAGGTTATCTTCTGTTATGAGTTCTGTAGTTGAAAGTTGAAACCAACAGCAAAGGAAGCTTCTTTTTCGTTTTTGTATTGATCTGATCGGTCTGTACTCGTAGAGTACTTTGATATTACATAGTACTCCAAAGTCATAGCAGAAGAAAGTTACACAAAGATCTTGTAGTTTTATTGATAGCTTGATTGCTTATTAATAGTTACAGAATTTGTACTAATTTCAACGATAGTATTAATTATTGAAAATGATCAATAATTTCAACAGATTTAATAGAAATTGTATGAAACCTTATACATGGCTTAGGTTTATTTCAACTGCACCTGTTCCTGACATTGACTTAAGTTACTATTGTAATCCAAAACATGCACTAGAAATTGAAAACAACATCAAAATTAGAAAAGGTGTTGGGGATCTTTGGCGAGTATTAAATATGTATGATATATTTAAAACAATTGCCCCAACTGATAAAGACTATCAAAACATTCGGGATGATTTGTACAAAGAACTCTGTATTCTACCCAATAAAACACATTCTTCAGTTATTAATTATATTGATCCACACATATTAGCAGAAGTTAACCCGAAAAAAGATTTTAAAGGGTATGCTCCTTTAGAGTTTAGCGAAATGACTAGACGTCTAAACTTGGTTCGAACTGATAAATTAGGACACACATGTGGTCATAAGAGCTACTATTTCTTAGGAGAACTTGCAGAGTTAGAAGAGGCTTTAATCAAATATACTGTAAATAAATTGCTTTTAAATGATTTCAAGCTAGTATCAGTGCCTGATATCTTACCTAGAAAAGTATTAGAAAGTTGTGGCATGACTGTCAATACAGATCGAACACAGGTAAAAGGTTAAATAAATGCATAAAGTTAGTTACTGATGCATTTGTTGCTTTTATGTACTTATCTAGTTAATATTTGCTAGCTGTGAGAGCATTTTGGTGAAAAAAGAAGTGTTACATAACTTTTTCTGACATTTACTTTACTGATTGAATTGTCATGATAATGAAAATCATCTTACCAACAAACACGGCAGTTAAAAATCATAACAACCATTAATCAGCCTTATATTCAATAATTTGCATGACTGTTCTTAGAAAATAAAAGTTATATTTTGTTCATCATTCCTGCTTTATAGTTCACTGCTCAAAATTATGGTTTTAATGAACCTCTAGGTGTTAAGAGGAGGGGTGAGTTGTGCCCTAGGTCTAGGATGATGCCGCATTATTATGTAATGGATGCTTATGTTTGGGTCATGAAATAAAAAAAATGTTTGACCTATGGAATCTTATCATTTTACAGATATATTCTTTAGACCCTGTGCACCATGGTCCTGACCTATGTTTATCAGGTACATCAGAGATGTCACTTGCTGGGTTGTTAATGAACACACTGCATGCCAAAAGCGATTTACCTCTTAAACTAGCAGCTGTCAGCAGATGTTATAGAGCTGAAACTTCAAATGTCATTGAAGAACGAGGAATATATAGGTAAAGTTCTTTAATAAATAAACAATTAAGAAATGTATTTCAGGGCAGAACCATAATTTTTTAGGGTTCCGTACCTCAAAAGATAAAAAAGGAACCATAAGATTACTTTTTTACTGTAGAGATCGATTTTGAATGAAAAATAATGTTTTAGATTAGTTTGCTCTGCATTTTCACACAACATATGGATCTTACAGATTGAATACCTAAATGGGCTTTCCTTTATTAATGGTATCATAAATAAAAAATATTATACAAATCTGGTAGAACTTAAAATAGAGCTATTTTGAAGAAATTCATTCTTATTAATAAACTCATAATCATTTATTAATAATTTTAGAGTACATCAGTTCACAAAAGTGGAGATGTTCATAGTTACAAGTAAAAGTCAGTCAGAAGATATGCTTGAATACTTAAGAAGGTTACAAGAGGAGCTATTTAAACCTCTGGATTTCAACATGAGGATCCTCGATATGCCTCCACATGAATTGGGTGCGCCTGCTTACAGGTAAGTATTATATTCCCAAACTATTAATAAACACAGGAGTCACAATTACATTATGTATGCCTGCAACATTCTGCTATCTATATAGGCTGGTTTAATGTATCTAGAGAGTTTGAAATTAACACATTTCACATCACACAACAACAACCTTTACCAGTCCACTGCTGGACATAGGCCTCTTCTTAGGAAGGAGGTTTTGGCCTACTATACCACGCTGGCCAGACAAGTTGGTATAGGGTTTGTTTCAAGTTTTCCTTCTCTCTGCAGTGATGTTGTCCTGCATAGTTAGCTTCTTTAGTCGCCTCTTACGACACCCACGGGATTAAAAGGGGTGGTGACACTCTGTATTCTTAATCCGTCACCAAACCACATTAACACATTTACTGTGAAATAAATTGTATCCTTGATAATACCAAATTCTGTACAAACTTAACGACATAAAGGCAGTTTAAATCCAAGTAAAACCACACCTTTGTACATCTATAGTCTGGAGTTGCTCAGTAAAAGTGTTAATAATAACTTTATCTAATCGATTATTTAGAATCATATATATTAGATAAACTACACTCAGACACAAAACAATTGATCATCCTCATCACACAATTATTTCTCCTGGGTGGAAATCCAACCCAATCTACTCAATCAATCAATCAATCAATCAATCAGTTTTTATTGTGAAACATACTATATATATTCCTATGTTGTATAACCATAAGACTAACCAGTGATAAACTTTTTTTTTAATATTTTTTCAGTGGATCAACAACTTTAATTACAACAGACTTGTTTAAGATGGTTTTTATTGATAACACAGATAAATTACACATACTATAGAAATATATTGAATTTTCTATTCCACAGAAAATATGACATAGAGGCATGGATGCCTGGGCGTAATAACTATGGAGAAATTTCAAGTTGTAGCAACTGCACAGACTATCAATCCCGAAGATTAAACATAAAATATGTCCATGATAATGAAATAAATTACGTTCATACATTAAATGGCACTGCTTGTGCTGTACCAAGGATGTTAATAACTCTGCTTGAAACTCATCAAGACCCTAAAGGGAAAATAAATATCCCTGAAGTATTGCAGCCATACATGAACAAAAAAGTATATATTACCAGAAACACTGTAGTCCCTGAATTAAAATTGATGAAAATAAAGCGAAAATAAAATTTATTTGTTTTGTCACAACTAGCAGATGTTTATTTTGTAGTGGTCTTTCAAATCAAAGGACAGACAGATATGCATACTATGCTCTCCATCCAATTCTTATATCCTACCTCTGCTCAAATAATATCACAACTCAAAGAATTGTGGCATTTAAAATTAATTCCAGTTTTATGGCCTTATTTCAAAAAATTACAAAAGACTTGAGCAAGTTAAAAGCTTACTTAGTACTAATTTATAACATCAGGCAGGCTTCTAGCTTGTTCTTCTATTATAAAAAAACTTTCACTGAAAATCTAAATATTTTCAGTTGTGACATTTATCTTACTAGAGGTGTAATATGGGATTTGCCATATCATTTACTCTAACTCCCTCAGCCTATCCGTTTTTCCTACGGCAGTTTACTTTATGAGGATGTCAGGCATGCAGCCTACCAGAACATAACTGGCCGATATCTGTTTCAATGTTGCACATTGTGCCAACTCCAAATAAAAGAGGAACAGAAGAGGAAGATGATGACAGATGGTTCAACAGATTGCCAATATTATACTGTATTTTAAGGTTTTGCAATAAAATAACTATTATGTTAAATATCATTACTATAATCTATAGACAGTCACACTTTGTTTATCCCTTTTTGTTTTTTAGTAATCTTTTTTATTTTAGATTTAAGTAAGTTTAGATCAACAGTGTCTGTAACAACAGATGTAGAAGTACTATCAGTTTTCTCCTCTGGTGGTATAAATTCTTTTTGGCGTTTTTCATCTTTAGCTCGTTTGACTTGGGCTTGCTTTTCTTCCTTCTCATTGCGTTTCTTTGCTCGTTTTTGTTCATCCTTAAGGAAATATTCACCAGTTGCAAGTTCCTTGTCAATTTTGCTCTCTGTTTGTGGGGGAGGAAATGGTGTGTAAGGTTTCTTTGTAGCTTTATTTTTGGGTTCTTTTCTAGGAACATTTTTAGTCTTAAATTTGGGCAAAAATCGATCCCAGCTTTCGTTTTTTAGTTTAGGATCTTTTGACAATTCACGTTTAATCATCAAGCTTTTAATATTATACATGGGATGAATATTTTTCATAGTGTCTTCAATAATTCTCCTCACCTGAACTAATCCTTTATATGGTCCTACAGCTGAAACAGTATTTCCTTGCACCAGCACATAGCATTCTGTTAATAATTCAATAGATTTGAGGGTCACTCCATTGGGACCGATTAAGCGTTGTCGTCTTTTCAGAAAAGTTTCCTTTTTTCGTACAAAAGAGTTGATTTTAATAATATCGCAACCTATTTCGTCGTCAAGCACTCTAACAGCTTGTTCAAAAGGAACACTTCGTGACAAAAGTTTCATTAGATCTCTTGCCTTTATTATTATGTATGGATCCCATGTTTTCCTCGTTGTTTTAACAGTTATACTTCCTTCAATAAGGTCTAGTTCCGCTACTATAAAGTGCTCTTTTAACACTTTTTGCACAAGAGGCCAACAATCTTTCAAGTACTGTTCCCTGTACTTAGGAAACAAAGTAGCAAACTTACTTTCTTCTAATAGACCATGTGGATTATCTTCAGGTTTGAATTTTGGTATTTTCATAGCCCAAGCATTATCCACAGGACTTGTATTTGGATTTTCTTCCTCTGTGTCTTGATTTAGCATAGTTACTGTTAATCGTTGAAAATACTCAAAAATAATGTTTAGTCTAATAGGTAAAGCATGTAAAGTTTCACCGATAACTGCCGATAACCGATAAAGGGTCCCACTGACAGTATGCTAAAGTTTTTGTCAAAATAGTCAAAGTGTCAAACCATAAAATATCGAGTATTTTCAACAGTGTGACCAGATTAAAACTTACAAAAACACCGCGGCACCTCAAAAAAAATACTAAAAAACTCATTTCATAGTATTTTACGCTTTCAATGTATCTACTTAAATAAATTAATACCAGTAGCTGCGTACGCTCCACCACGTAGATACTTCTTTTCGTCATATGCTTGAACATTTCTTTTAGTTCTAGTATTTAGATGTCCACTTTAATTTTAACTACACACTTAGCTTACAAACTTGAAGCGAAATAACTAAAAATGGTTATTTTATTGCATTGTATGCCAGCGAAGTGGGTGCGAAGGGTATAACAGCTGAATCCCTCTATAACCTCCTTAAAGATGTTGGATCCTTGTAAGCTCTTTCCTTGAGCGAATATCCAAATTAATTGCTAGGCTCGTATCAAATATGGTTAGGTAGAGGGTAACACCGCAGACAATGGAGGTGAGCGCTGACGCGTCGCAAGAAGTAATCCCTAGGCCGCAATCCCCAGGCACTGTGGAAGTAGCATGTGTTGCCCCCATTCCCATCATCACGCGATGGACTCGGCAGCCGTACAGTGAATTCTTAGAACGCTAAGAAATGGGCTATAACTAGTTTCCTTTCTTAAATTCAATACTGATACCAATCGTTTTTGTCAGCACCATCGGTTCTAGATTAGAGCTTTTCAATGTTTATTGGAATTTCATATTTGTTGCAGCATTCTCTAGCGAATAGAGGCAGGATTGAGAAAGCAATATCAAAGGCCCCTAATTCCTCAAATTTCAAAGTCCCTTGGCCTTTTGGGCATCTTTGAAAAGCAATACCTCTAGTATCTGGAAGTTACTTATACGTAGGGTATTGGTAGACAACATCTGACAGAGCTTTTGAATGAAATCAATCTTCATTTCTCTTCTGCTACTCAACCGGATCATTAAACATAGAGTCGGACCCTGAATTATATCGCTAATCTACCCAGCCCAATATTGTCAACTTTGAATTTTTTCGTGTGCCTTCTGGGGATATCAAAAACATCATCCTATCTGTCTGTTGTAACGCAATGGCTTGCAAGCCGTAGGATGACAGTTACCATCCTAGATTACGTCTTCGAAGTTTTAGGCCACATTATTGACTTTTTTCTAGACTAAGAAACCTTTTCCTCTCTCTCTGGCACAAAGCCTACATCATCCCATTGCCTAAAATAATAACCCTTCTCTTCCTGTGTATTTTTATCCAATCCCCATCCTTCTTTTCCTATTAAACGTTCTTGAGATTTGCGTACACAAACAGTACACAAAGATGAACTGTGAGGCAGTTCATCTTTCAACGGCATTTCTAAAGTCCTCTACAATCTTACTATTACTATTAAACCACCAAAAAAATCCACTAGCTACTAAAAGCAAAATTTCGCTACTAAAAGGGGGGTCGAAACTACCAGTTTTAGTGGAAAAGCCAATAGGTTCGCAACACTGATTATGACTGCATTTACACAAATTATGAAAACAATACAATTGTCCTGTTTCTAAACCACTGAATATTTTTGTTCGTATTTTGTAAATCGTCTAAGAATAACGTATAGAGTATATTTTATAAAGCTTTGAAATATATCTTACAGAACTCTCTGGAAATCCCGATTAGCTGCACAGACTATAATTATATTTTTGTCAAAATTGAATTTTAATATTCAGTAACATGATGAAACTTTTTATAAGGGTTGTGATGTTGAATTAAAATTCCTGATTGTACTATGAATATATGATGAATAATACACAAATGTTGATCACGGGTATTAAAAAATAATTGGAATTCTTGAAGTTAGTTTATATTAAAATACCAAATTTATTAAGATTGTAAATCAAGTTGGGAATCTGGTTAATTAATATTGATGGTTAGGGATTCCCCAATTATTTTAGAACAGTTCATAGATTTAGAAATATATTATTTTTAATTAGGAAAGTTATTAATAAACATCTTGAAATGGATAAATAGAAACACATAATAAGCCAATGAAAGCTTTGGAGCCTTTAATAAATAAATAGGATTTTCAGCATTTTATTAAAGAGGGCTTTGGTAGGAAGAAACATTCAAATGATGAGTTTTCTTATCCATCTTTGTCTTCAGGTCGTACAAACGATGAGTCCATGTCAATTACCTAACTAAAATAAAGAATAAATATACACTTGTTAACTTTTATAATGTGGAACCACTTTTATATTTATAGACAAGGCAATAATATAACAACTTGGTTAAAGCAGTTAGAAAGGGTTTTATTGTAGTTAAAATACAGTAATGTAATATTTAAAGAATACGTAATGTATGTATGCAAGAAAAAAACAGTTGAGTAACTTCTAAACAGTCAAATGTAATTATAGTAACGACAGTATTTAATATTCTTTTACTTTTGCTTAATTCTACCCTAATTGAATTCCGACAAAGTACCAACTGTAATGTCCATTTGCTTTTATGGCAACATTGCGCCGTCCTTTTCGGGTGTGTTTTAAACTTTTAAAATATTCAAGAACGCAATCGAGAGAGTTCTATGTCACACAACTCAACTGAACTGAGTCATTTTGTCTGCGGTGGTGTGTCTTGATATTTCTTAATATTGTATAAACAAGTAAAATCACTTTGAAATTTAAAGCCTATGGTTGATAATATATTTATTGAGGTAGAAAATTTCGCGGTCCGAGTTGAAATTTATACACGTTTCACGCGATCATCAAGATGGAAGAGGAGGAAACTTTCAGACCAGGTAAGTACTACTTTTAAGTATTTTTTTTTTCAGTCACAAAATATTAATAACTTGTAACTAAAACAGGTAATTAATACAAAATTATTAAAAAACTCAAATTGTCCACACTTTTTTAATAAGGATGTAAGGAATATTTGTGTAATTGTACAAATAATGTCATCTTGCCTTTATAGGGTATAGAAATGTAAACTCTAGTAGGAAGGAGTCTTCATATTGATGATAAATAGAAAAAGATGCTTATAAGATTTTTAGATAAGGCTCGGTTGAACTGACGCGATGACTTCACTCCTTACAGAATTATTTTTATTCAGTTGGAGGGCATAACAAGAAGTTTAGTAATGTGTAACCCACATTTCATTGTATCCTTTGTACTCATTAAAATTATGGGATTCTATAGGTTGGTCTTACATTATTTTGCATTATTCTTTGGGCCAATAGCACCAATTCAACTAAACTTTTCACCCTAAAAGTGATATTAACTAGGATGCTAGTAAAGACTTATGATAGACAGAGCTGTAGACCTTATTTTCTGAAAGATTTCATTCAAATATTACCTTGTGTATATCTCTCAAATATGCAAATTTGACTGCCAATACCCACTTTTCTACAAAAATAGGGAAGACATCACAAAAAATATACACTAAGGCATAAAAATTAATCATGCATTCTATCCGTCGGTTCGTTAAGTCTATTAAAACATAAAACAAGCTCTAAATTACATCCAAAATCAATAAATCATATTACTCTCTACAGGAATTCCTTAATGATTAGTTTAGATTAGTTTTAATACCGTAGCAATTGATAATAATATAATATAATGTAAAGTAATATAAATATATTGTTATAGACAAAAATTCTGAAATATAGCGAGATCAGGATGGCAAAAACATGGCAAACCTTTAAATACCTGTTGCGGAAACATTTACTAAACTCCTTATCAGATCCATCTTAATTATTTTTTTACTCTATCTCTTCTAGAATTTATTCTGTGTGTATATATATATATACATATATATACAAATATATAATATAATTATATGTATGTATAGGTGTATATATAAATATATATATATATGTATATAAATATATATTGTGTGTGTTAGTATCATTATTACTTATTGCATATGTATTATTTAATAAAAAAGTAAAGTACTCTGGGTATATGATATTCTTTATATGCTATATTTTTCATAAAATCACATTTTTTATTTCTTATGTGTTCTACCATGTTTTGTGAGAAAATGCCTACAACATTAAGTCCGCCTTTGTCACATTTGTGCATAAAGTGTAAATAAATAAAAAAAAACATTAGAAATTGTTAGGTACAAATTTTCATATGTCTTATTTAACATTAATTAGCTTAAAATAAGGTAATTTTGGTATGATATTTTATTAAGGGATATTTGTCATTGGTGTTAAGCTAAGTGGGTTTGAGGAAAAACGGAAAACTTGTAAATGTCTTTGATTTTTATATATTTAGAGTCCAATAGAACATTACAACAGGTAGGTATACCGTTATACAGTGGTATAAAACCAATAACGCGAGTGTCTATTAAGACATGTTAACCCGGGGAGAGGGCCGGAGTGTGACTGATGTCTTGTATTAATTATATCAATGTGATGACATTGCCGAACGCGGTTTGCACGCGTTCGCTTACATAAACTGTGTCACCACATCAATCCTCCCCTTTTACAAAAATTTTCAAAAACTTAAAAAAAAAAAAACTTTGACAAAAGTAATACAGAATAACTTTTAAAACCTTTAACAGAATACGCACCTCGCTTCACTACGACTCAACATGCTTATTAAGAAGAAACTTGATCGCTGTTGATATGAGACCCCCGGTACTCCGACCAGTGATGCCAGGTGCACTGTAATTACAGTAGATTAATTTTTTATTTTATTTTTACACTTCCTGCATTACAGTTTGCACGAGGCGGACTTAATGCCACATGGCATTATCTACCAGTCGACCTTAAGATGGTTCAGTAAGGGACATGGCAGGTGCACATATATTATGTAATAAGAAGAGAAGCTATAAAAATATAACATTAATTTGATAATACTATTTAAAATAGATAGACGAATACATAGATAACTATTAATATATTATACATACGGAATATAATAAATACAATAAAGTTTGGGTGACGATATCATGAGGATATTTCTGCTAGCTGTTTCCTGTAGAATTCGCGGACTTTAGCTTTGAACGTGTTACTGTTATTTTACTGCTTTTGCTGCACACTGTATTCCAGCTATACAGTATACAGTGAACAGCGAAAAACCGTAGTTACTTTTAATTTTAACCACCAAAAAAAGTAGATTCACCATTCATTGCGTGAAACGAACCGCACTGTGTTCTACTTCAAGTAAGCATTACCTCTTGGGCCGGGGAATTCTCACAGAACGGGGAATAGATTATAGATAACTATTATTTGACAAAATTGAGATGTTTATATGTAGCATATTCTTTGTTTACTGTAAGCTTCCCTTGTAATGTTGCGGATAACAGTAGGTAAGTTTATAACCTTACAATGAAGTGTTCATTTTGAAATATTGGCTACATTGTGCGCATTAATTGTATTATAGTTAGTATTACTTTTAAAATTGTCATTAAAAATGTCGGCTCGTGAAAGCGACGACGAAGGACCCTCCACGCCGAAAAAAAAGAGAAGTTATAGGCAGAAATTTCGTAATGAATGGTTACACCATGAAAACTTCAAAAAGTGGTTGCGACGTGATATGAAAGATCCATATCGCGCTTACTGTATATTTTGTGATACATCGATGATTGCTGACATGGGAGCTTTAAAACGCCATAGTGAAGGTAACAAACATGTTCTTAAAGCTAAGTCCTCTTCATCTCTGACTTGTCGCGTTAAACGATTCAGTTTACTTATGAATACAGACTTCATTACCACTGTATACTTGTGTTGACCCCTCATAACCTTTCTATGTACATTCTATCTAAAATTCATTATATCTAAAATTGTGACTTTTTCAGAAAAAAAAACGGTTAACAAAACTACAACTTTTTTTTTAGCGGGATTATAAAAGAAAAAACTAGAATGTTTATTAAAAATAAGATGGGTATTTCTGGTTGTATTATTGTGTTTTATCAATATCCTTCACCTAACAGACAACTGAATGTACGAACCTTATATTTATGGCGTAAATTCTTTTTAACACATGACAACCGATGTTTCGTGTCCTGAAAACAGACGGCTTATCATAGTTTCATTTTACGCAACTAAAATAGTTTAAATTACTGAACCTAGTTAAATTAACTTATTAGTATTTTATTATTTATGGATAGAAATAAAGTAAGTAGCCGATAATTAGGAATAAGGTCGAGAATCTCAATGCAATTCGTATTTTCTTGGGAAACCCGTTAATTTACAGTAACATTATACGCTATGTTCAATAATTAAAACGGCACATGATTAAAGAAGCCCAAAAGCATGAATTGACATAAATTCCTTTAAATTCCTTTTTCCTTTCCTGTGCTTTGGATGATAGCCAAAGTCCACTGCGGCGAAAGAGGACCGGCGCGGCGCGATACGCTTATATAAATAGTAAACAAGAAATAGTCGTATATCATCGAGTGGATGGAAAGCCATTGGTCACAAGAGTTAACTACCTAGGAAGTTTTAGACAGGTAGAAACAGAGTTTTATGTAGGTTGGTGTATTTGAGATAGTAGTCGGAGTATTCCACTATTCATCCCGTGATAATTTCTAATGTATGCGGATCATATAACATAACAAAACTCGAAACAGATGTTTTTTTTTTGATCGAGTCTCGAAAATAAACCTAGTTCGAGATGAGTGGAAAATCATCGCATACTATGATATGTACCCATTCTGGCAGGGAATGACAGCGTTTCAAAAATATAATCAACAATTAGATCAGTTGTGTTCCAATATAAGAGAACAACCGCACTGTGACGTAATTATATCACAACTACGACACGGATTCTCAGAACTGGAATACTATAACGTCTTACTTCTGAGTCAACACGGGCGCACGCGAGCAAGGACGCGCCGTGGCCTTATAAATGGTGTCGGTTACATAGCGAACAGCTTATTCGGCGTTCTCGACGAAAGGTTCGCTGAAAGATATCAACACGACATTAATCGTATAAAATTAGATCAGCATTATCTGTCTACGTTATGAAAAAATCAAACTTCTATAATTGAGGCCGAATACAATATACTAAAACGAGCTGGGCAGTCAATTGACAAACAACACCAAATTATAAACCAACATATTATGAGCCTAGAAACAACTGCAGGTAGAATGAATTCGGCAATCAAGTCGCAGCTCGACTCTATAGATTTCAGCCTAGGGGTAATAGCTGCAAACAACATGCTCCAAAACCTGAAATATATCCAAAATACGATTATAGACGCCGTAACTGATATTTATCATGGTAGATTCAACATCCATCCAGAACAATTAAGGGACGAACTCAGCAAAATAGCAAGCCAATTATCAACAGATTTAGCTCTTCCTATTAGTATACAGTTGGAGTTAGGAAAAATTTACAAATTGTTAACTGTCAAATCAAGAATAACAGAAGAGTATTGCATTTTCGAAATCAAGTTGCCACTTATCAGTCGTGACGTATACGAGATTTTTAAGCTCATGACTATACCCAAACAATCAGGAGAAAACATGATGTATATTGTGCCTAAATCCGAATACGTCGCTATTAGCTTGAAAAAGGACTCTTACGTAACAGTTACAGAAAATGAGATCAACAGCTGTTTGACAGATATAGACGTGTTCTTATGCCGCTTAGAAAAACCTGTTAATCACTTAACTAATTACACAGACCTATGCAAAATTGAAAAGAAGTCAAATTCATGTAGAATAATAACCGAATCTTGCCTAAATCAAGGGCAGGACATTAGTCAAGTAAACAAATACCTATACTTTTGCTGTAACTATTGTTCCCCACATATACTCTGCGAAAATCAAGCTTCAGCACAAAA